ACATTTAGTTAAACGTATATTGTACATTTGTTTCAATATTCGTCCAAACATATATTCGTTAGAAACGGATGGCGGTCGTCAAACGGATTCAATAAAGGTTTTGAGGATAGATCATTTGTGTTTATCGTTTTCTATGGAACAATAGAGTTCTTGGCTCGTAAAGCGCAGCGGCCATGACCCGTGACGTCACTAGGATCCGAAAAGCACTAGTGTCTTTTTTCTTAAGAATTGAACTAACGTTTCACCTTAGGGTAATTACCATGCACATAGCATTGGGGCAAAGTAATTTTTTATGCGAGAAGGTGGCAACCGATATGGCGGTTCACTTGATGTTAAGTGATAACCGCCGCCCGTTGACATATACAACGCCCGTAGAGCTGCCGATGCGTTGCCACCTTTTAATAAAGTGGGCCCCGGCTACCTCACTCACCAGATGAAACGCAGAAGTACAAATGATTTTGTGGATTCAGTTATCGATAGTAATACTGTTACAACAATACGCTTTAGGGTAAAGCAAAAGAAAGCTTCGCTGAAAAGAAACTTTTGTCACCTTCAAATCTTTAAGAATTTTGCCAAGCCCCATAAGATTGTTACACTGCAACACCAAGACCCAGCATTTGCTGTGTTGATTTGTATAATTTATAATGTTCTTTCTGACGGTAGCCCATTATCATTGATGTCAAGTATCTCAGTCTGTCCTGTGACCATAAATGCTGCCGACACCACGAGAAAATCCGTAAATAAAAATCATGAAAAGTCATCCGAAAATTTGCCTTTTTTTAAAATAATATAACTTTTTAATTTCTTTTTTTTTATGTCAAAAGTTGCCAACCGAGCAGACGGTTCACCTGATGTTAAGTGAATACCGCCGCCCATGGACATCTGCTACACCCGAGGGTTGCAGATGCGTTGCCAACCTTTTGAAAATTGGGCTCCGGCCACCTCACACACCAGACGAAACGCGAACGTATTTTACTTCCACAGTCGCCGGTCTTCTGTGAGGTCGTGGTACTTACCCGGACGAGCCTGCCCATTCGTCAGCCGCGGCTGCTGCGTGGTACCACCGTGTACTTTTCAGCAGATTCGAGTATATAAGAATTTATAGTTTTGAATAATTACAACGTTGATGGTAAATTTATAACTAATTAAAGCTATTTAAATTGTTTATAGTGCTAATCTTTGCACTTAAGATTGAACATTAAAATATGTAGAAAAAGTGCGAAAAGATTGTCGCCGCTGTGGGAATCGAACCTCTCTATTTACATATTTTATATATCTACATATTTTTTCTACATATTTTAATGTTCAATCTTAAGTGCAAAGATTAGCACTATAAACAATTTAAATTTCTTAAAAAGCAATGGCGACATCTCTCGTTCGAATTATCGTTGTAAAACGATATACGAAGTTGTTTGTATGCTGGAAAGGATATAACAATAGATGGCGCCAAGCATTGCTTCAAATGCTAAGAAAACAATGTAGAAGAATGCGTTAAGATTTTCGTCGGTGTGGTAATCAGCCGTTTAGCTCAGTGGCTAGAGCGTCAGGCCGCGAATGCCGAAGACGTGGGTTCGATTCCCACAGCGGCGACAATCTTTTCGCACTTTTTCTACATATTTTAATGTTCAATCTTAAGTGCAAAGATTAGCACTATAAACAATTTAAATTTCTTAAAAAGCAATGGCGACATCTCTCGTTCGAATTATCGTTGTAAAACGATATTCGAAGTTGTTTTTGTATGCTGGAAAGGATGTAACAATAGATGGCGCCAAGCTTTGCTTCAAATGCTAAGAAAACAATGTAGAAGAATGCGTTAAGATTTTCGTCGGTGTGGTAATCAGCCGTTTAGCTCAGTGGCTAGAGCGTCAGGCCGCGAATGCCGAAGACGTGGGTTCGATTCCCACAGCGGCGACAATCTTTTCGCACTTTTTCAACATATTTTAATAATTAAAGGTAACTATATATCTTTATATATAATAATTCATTTCTATAATTGTTTCAAGTTCATTATACCAGTCCAGTTTATGCGTCAATTAGTTATGTAACATATTATTTATTATTTAGTTTAATGATATACAAAATATACATCCCTAAAATATTTAGAAAAATATGTATATGATGTAGCAGTGGTACCGCGTTGTGCACTATGCCCTGATACCCTCTGTACAGAGGAGGCCTTTCCAGCTTGTCCAGCAGTAGTATGTAAGTATGTAATGTATATGTATGTTATTTCTAGTACTTCCAGTAAAATATTCTTCAAGCGAACAAATTAGAAAAGTCAGTTATTTATCTTTCAAATGCTGTCTTTTACAATCCATAAAAGGCCCAAGAGTGTATAATCCTACCCGTTTATACAGTTGCCTATAAGGAACAAACAAAAAAATCAACAAAAGCACAGCGCAATAATAACACATCGCTGACGTGTGGCCAATAAAATAAAGAAATGTCCCAATCACAACAGGGATGGTGGTTGATCTATCATAAGCTTGGGTTCCAGTAATTTATAAAAATAAAGTCCGGATTAACTATGACATAATCACATAACTCTCAGTCTTTCCCGTAATCATGACTGCTGTGAAATTTTCGAAACGTCATGCATGTAAAAAAAGCGCCGTAAAATCCGTTTTATTTAATTCTCGTAACAATTTCTTGTTTCAAGTATTTTAAGCTTAAATGCCCGTTTCGAGAGCTTTGCAGCATTCACGGTTATAAGACAGGCAAATGGTTTTAATTTGTAACATGAATGATAATGTTACAAATTATATATCCCTTCTAACTATTCGTAATTAAAAGCTACGTACTTAAATGGTTTGAAACGGATGGTTGTCGAATTATAAGGCATACTATTTGGGAATAGAATATTAGTTTTGAAAACCTACTTGAGCAACCTTGAACTTGATACACGTTTGCAAAAAATAATACACACTATCAAATGAAATGAACTATAAAAGAATATGAAGATCGATTAAAACGTTTATAAAACTTTCACAAGAGATTTATATACAAGCTTCAGGGCACTTGGAACTTACTTAGAATTGACCGAGGTCGAAGCCACGTTATAAACAATGATTTTTATAACTTAGGCTACATTGACACTGATCATCAAAATTAACATATTTTTTATTGCAATAATGCTAATTTTAATATTAATATTAACAACTATTTTACGTCATATTATTTTACGTCGCCATCATGGAAGCCTTGCGTTTTCATTTATATTAGTAAAATTATTAAAAATGTTTACTGTTTTCAATGCTTAAATGGTTGTCAGTAATCAAGTATAACATGAGAATAATTCTGTTTTAAAAGTAAATTAACTAACTAATATAATAAGATATTCATTAACTTATCAGTAGGAAAATGCTGCTTAAAGCTCGCTTACGATTTAGGGCCTTAAATATGCCGTAAATCGTAAATTAGTCTTGACCCCTCCATCAATCACGTGTAAACTAAAATAGAACGGTACTATTTCTTTAATACATGATTAATTCGGGTATGTAATACCAAGATAAACCTGTCCCTCATTGAATTGCTGCATCGTGGAAGACTCGAGCTGTTTATTTTCACCGATTGTCCAAAGTCTTCAAACATGTTCCTGAAGCAAATTAAAATCGCTCACGATGGCGTGGGAAAATCCAATAAAGTCACTCCATTTCGTAACGTTACTCGCAGAAGACGCTTGATCATGTAAACTTACGATAAGTTAATCTAACTAGTTGACCAACAAATGTCTACTCTACATAAAATAATAGAGTTTTTTTTTGGCATACGAACAATTGTATACATGTTAAATGAATAATAAATGTGACCATAAGATATCATTTATTATTAATTTTCTTTTAGTGTTAATCTTCGCTCTACTGTTTTTTCTTGCAGCACTCAGGCGTGATGTGTGTGTTTCATAAGATATCAGAATTTAAGGGGTCCTTTGAAATATGTATTTAATCTCTAGTGGCGTAATTTAGTCATATAGTTTCTAGGACCATTGTGCCAATTATGTCAAACAAACTCATTTGATCGTATAATACATTAACCTGCATATAAATCTTCTGACACACATCTAAAGACGTGACGTTATGTTCAATTGCTAGGTATAATGAAAAATATCGTAACATTAATCATAATCATCATCATCAGCCTCTTAGAGTCCACTGCTGAACATAGGCCTCCCTCACAGACTGCCACGAAGCATAACCATGAGCCGCCTGCATCCATCGACTTTCCAAACATTTTCACCAGTCTCCATCTACTGGGGGTTATCCTACACTGCGATGGCTAGTAAGAAGCAGCCTCTCAAGAACCTTTCTTCCCCGTCGGATATTTGAATAATATGATACTATTTTTAAATGTGAACAAAAAGTAAAGAAAAGTAACAGCCTATAAATGTCCCACTGCTGGGCAAAGGCCTCCTCTGTACAGAGGGTATTAGGGCAAAGTTCACAACGTGGCTCTACTGCAGATTGGCGGACTTCACATATCTTCAATCAATTTTTTTTGTTGTTGTTTCGAAAATATGCAGGTTTCCTCACGAGGTTTTCACCGTTAAGCACGTGATAAGTTAGCACTTGAAATTAACAATTTGATTGGTGCCGGCACCGGGAATCGAACTCAGGTTGCTCGAGTTTATCGAATTAGAAGCGATCGTCCGGACAATGAGCTATCACGGTATGTAATCTATCACGTTATGAGCTATCACAGTATGTACGGTCATAAAAAATCGTCGAAAAAGATTCGACCTTTACGACCTTTCCAGAGGGTCCAGGAGTTCTAAGGTCGCACAGAGCCGCAATTAAAGGCAACGAGACGTGAGGCATCGTACTTGGAGCGAGATTAGCACGAAATTTCAGGCACGCGCGGAGGCTTCGCGGTGTACGAAGCTATATATGTATGGGGAGATGAGCACGCGCATCAATACGCGTCCGCCGCACGCCGAGGTGCGTAGTGTGCTGTGTTCTGTTGGGTCGAATATGCAGTGTGTGTGCTAGTCGACTGAGGGAAACATGGTGAGCTTTTTGAATGTTTACTTTTTGTGTATAAAAGTGGTAAATTTACTTCATATACGAGCGTTTTTCAATCGAGATAATAAGGAACTTTATTACTTTTCTGAATAAGAATTACATTTTGCAAAAATTACGGTGGTTTTTGTAACTAATTTTGAAATATATAATTACAAATCATATTAGTGATGAACTTTGAAATAACTTTGATTAGATAATTAATCTTTTTTCAATTTTGTTTTGCGAAAATCTATTAATATCGTGTTGGTTGAAAATAAACACATCGAAGTAAGCGAAGCACGTTTATTAAAATTTGAATTGATTAAAGTTAATGTCTATAACATAGCACGATACGTCTCCAAGACCATCTTCTGCATTTTCGACCCCGCGAAATCGCCGATAGTCGCACAAAACAAAGGTTGCGCCGTGAAAGTGTTCGCGCCAAGACAAATAGTTTGTATACGCAACACCGAACGCTGATAATCTAACAGTTTGCAATAGCTTGATTTGTTATTGCTTCATCATACTGTGAAGAGGAAACGAAAACTTGCGTGGTAAAAAATAAGTTATAAAATTCCAATTTGGGAAAGTAGGTTCATTCGTTGAAAAATCCTGGCATCAATTAAAAACTCCCTGGATTGAATCATTAACTTTCCATAGAATACCCAGTAGATGATTTAGAGTTGTACCTGCCATACTAAGGTTAAAACTTTCGGCTGTATATATTTTATTTGCATTAAGTTAATCCTTATATACATAGGATCTCTTTATAAGAATTTTCTATGCAATAGAAATTCAATCTATGGTTTCTGTGTCGAATAAGGACCGAATAAACAACAATTATTAATTAAACTTTATTGTTTTTTCAACTTGTAATGACGTCTCATTGTTCTTTTCACACAATAATAAAAATAAGTTCTATCTAAGTAACTTCTAAGTTCTTAGACACTGTGAATAATTAGCCTGAGGGTAAACGTGCTTTACATAAAGTTAATGTCAAGTGTCAATTAAGACGAGTTTCACAACAAGTTGGAGTTCATTAACCGACCATCCAATGTCGATGGATTTATTTGAATTTTTAGAAATTTATCATTAAAATTAATACTATATATATTTACAACTCCTAATTACATCTTATCATCGTTAAAAAAAAGTTGCGGACAAGACCTGAATTTTCTAAGAGTTTCACGATGTTGTAGGTTTTAAAAAAATATATATTTTATGTAGAAGTAAATTCGTTTCTCTAATAAAATAACTCAATATATTCTTTATATGAGAAGGTTGTAAGCGGAATGGCGGATCTCCTAATTTTAAGTGGTAACCGCCGACCATGGACATTTGCAACACCGCAGGGTTGAAGATGCGGTGCTACGTTTTAATAAAGTGGGCCCCGGTTACCTCACTCACCAGACGCAACGCAGAAGTATAACACTTCTACTTCACGCCGGTCTTCTGTGAGGTCGTGGTACTTCCTCTAACAGACCAGCCTATTCGTTCAACAGCGAAGACAGCAACTTTTTGCCCTCGGCTTCGCTCGCGTTTAAGCCCTTAAATAAATATCTTTCAACCCTTTACAACACTTTTTTCCAATTAAAAGTTAGCCTATGTCCTTTCTAAGGCTGTAGACTATCTGTGTACACCTATCAAATTTCATTTAAAACGGTTCAGTAGTTTTGGAGTGAAAGCGAGACAGACAGACAGACAGACAGGCAGAGTTATTTTCGCATTTATAATATTAGTATGGAAGTATGGATATGATTTTCATTCAGGTTAAATATTCTAAATTTCCATAAGTTATTTCATATCTAATTATGTACTAATTGAATTTTTAATAAAGCATTTAATAGCTCTTTAATTTGATTTTCCTTCATTAATAGTTCAGTAGCTACAGCGGCATCGTATATATCTGTACATACGATGCCGTTGTGAAGCAATTCATAAGGCCCATGGCAAAGATCGCAGTAGAGAATAAGATATAGTTATAATTCCTGAGTGAACTAAAGACTTGTTTTTATCTGCAAATGTAATTATTATACGCACATTAAATAAAAACATCCTCAAAGCTAAAATACAATCGTTCAATTTCATATTTAAACATTATGTTCTAACGATATGCAGTTAAAGTATATCAATATATTTATTTTATTGAAATTAATAGTGGATTCTAAATAGTTTTTTGAAAATAACAATGCTTGTTTACTAAAATAATTTCGTAGTTGTCTCGTGTGGGAATCGAACCCACGATCCCAGAGCCGCGCCAATACCCTGGCAACTGCGCTACAGAGTCATCCGTCTAATGTCATATTTTTAAATTAAAAAAATTAAGCTTTTGTCAAAAAGTGCGACTAACTACCGAATGACGATTATTAATATTCTTTTATTCTTACTTCTTTCTTTGATTTTTTCATTCTTACTTCCTCCCTTCCAAGAATAATGCGCTAAATTTTTTTTGTACAAAAAGGCGTATATACGTTTCACCTACTTACTGAAAAAACTGTCTCTTAAACTAGCTACTATTAGTTCGAATTATTACCATTAAGACATGATTTAGAATCTGCTACTTGTTCCGTTATCAAACAGTCTTTAAAAGGGTTAAGGTGAGCCTGTGATTAAACTTTAGCATGTAAGACCAAATGTTAGAAATCCTTACTAATATTATAAAGGCGAAAGTTTGTATGTATGGATGGATATTTGTTACTCTTTAACGCAAATACTATTGAATGGATTTAAATGAAACTTTACAATAATATATCTTATACATCAGAATAAGACATGTAATTGCTGGCTGTAATTTATATACATATTTTAAAATCTGTCTTTCTGTCGTAATGTTACGCCTTCAGCCTACTAGACGCAGACGTAGTCGCGGGCTAGTGAAATAATAATTTCAACTAATCCAATAATTCATAGTAGATTCCAATTTACAGCGGCTAGGCTGAAAAAATGAACTGCCGGTCTTAATTTAATAACTTAACGAACAAACCATTAAGTATGAATCAACGCCGCGCTTCATCAAAGCAAAAGACATCAACGCGACGCCGTCAAACGTACCTAACGTATTTCAATTTAACTTTACGACCATTAATAAATCTTCGCTAATTGTTACAGCATATTGAACTATCATAGACTTATAGCATATATATAATTTATTAGTAGCCAATATATTTTTCCTGGTGCTTCTATTTTTAGACTTTCCTTAGTAACTTCCGTAAACTTTTTACGGTGGTAGGGCCACGCAGCAGCCTCGGCTGTTGCACGAACGGGCAGGCCCGTCCGGGTAAGTACCACGACCTCACAGAAGACCAGCGTAAAGTGGAAGTATGACAAATACTTTCGCGTTTCGTCTGATGAGTGAGGTAGCCGGAGCCCAATTTTCAAAAGGTTGTCAACGCATCTGTAACCCTCGGGTGTGGCAGACGTCCATGGGCGGCGGTATTCACTTAACATCAGGTGAACCGTCTGCTCGTTTGACAACTTTTCGCATAAAAAAAAAAGTAAGTTCTATATGTTACATAAGTAAATATTTATTTATTTATTTTTTAGTAATAGACCTTTTACGCATAAATTGAAACACTAAGTTTCCACACATAATGTATTTTAAATACGTTCATATGTCGCCTAGTGAAAGGAAACTTGCACACGCATTTCGAGCGTCAGTAAAATGACTCTTGAAATTTTCACTTTTAAAGAGTTTTATGTATAAATTTTAATTACAACCTCACCTTTATATTATTTTAATTACAACCTCATTCGAAAACTAAAACTAAATTCAATTAAAAGCATTTATTGACTCTACCAACACCACCCAAGATAGTATAAACTGATGTTGACTGTTGACATTACAACCAAAATTTTATATAATGTTACCGCGTTTGAAACTTATTTCTTTCGACAATTTAAAATAAACACTTCAACACGCCTTTTGAATTGAATGGTTTCAACTACGTACTTGTTAAATCAGCGGTCGACCTTTTAAGTGCCTCCTCAGAATTATGTAATCCTTAAAGCGGCCTGACCTGCGCATAGTAGATAAAGTAGCAACTATATATTTATAAAAATAACCTTAAAATACTAACATATTTCCAACAATTTGCCATTTTAGGCATTCCTGAAAGCCTACACAAATCCCACTGCTGGGCAAAGGTCTCTGCATGGTAGGTACAAAGGGTTTCAGGAATCTTGGCCTTGGAATGGCAGACATCACAACATCTTCGAAATATTTTTTAGGGTTCCGTACCCAAAGAGTAAAACGGGACCCTATAACTAAGACTCCGCTTTCTGTCTGTCTGTCCGTCTGTCACCAATCTATATTTATTTAAACGTGATTAGACAGTTGAAATTTTCATAAATAATGTATTTCTGATTAAAAAACAAAATCAAAAATATTTTATTGGGGCACCCATACAAAACCGTTTTTCCGTTTTTATAGATAATGGTACGGAGCCCTTCGTGCGAGTCCGACTCAAACTTGGTCGGTCTTTTCTTACTGTTTCGAAAATATGCAGATTTTCTCACGAGTATAACCTTCACCGCTGGCCAAGTGTTAAGTCAGCACTTAAAATTAACAATTTCATTGGCGCTAGTACCGGAATTTGTACTTTGGTTGCATATTGCATTTAAAGAGAGCACCGGGAGCTATAACGGCGTCTTACGTTGACTTTACTATCGTTTCACTAGTTATGATGACAAATTGATCAAGGCACCAGTATATTATAAACTAATATTATACTATATATTATATTACTAATATTATAAACGCAAAAGTTCCTTGCTAATATTAGAAACAGCTAGTTGTAGTTTTGGGTAAGTTAACTGCTTTATATTTTGTGAAAAAGCCCTTTTCAAGTACTTTGATCTATCATCTGGTGTGTCCTTGAGTCTTTTATTTGATGCCATAAATAGAAAATGTTAGTGTGCTCTTATATGTGTATGGATAAAATTGCAGTGCACAATTGCACACTTGTATGGTAATTGCTTATGATACAAATGAATCGAACAATTTATCA